TTTGCAGGTATGAGAACATTTATTGTGTTTTTTCTTTTCGATTTTGCAAAGTCTTTTTGGGATTTGTTTTGCTTATCGACACATTTCGGGAGAAAATGTATATACAATATGATATATTTATTGGAAATATTTCGGTGGTATATGTTGCTATTAATGTAAGAGGTAAATAAAAAAGAAAACAGAGTAAGGAAATTATATTAAAGTAGTAGTAATAAAATAATTATTTATTGCGACGTTTCAGATTTTTGTACACATCATTTCTGAAGAGGATCGTACTTAATTCCAAAACGTCGATAATAAAAAGTATTTTTTTAAAAACTGTTTGGTTTACTACTATTTTGTTTCCATTGCATTTTTTGTTCTAATGAAATTTTAAAAATGTTCACAGATACAATAATGTAAAATTGGTAAATGTATGGTAATTTTCTGTTGCAAAAGAAATCCCTATGCTTCACAACATGCTGCTTATTTTCATATATATATATATATATATATATATATATATATATATATAATATATATATATATATATATATATATAGGGATATATAAATTGTTTTCAATATGACAAACACATGTATATTTAGAAATTTATTCATATTTGTACATATTTTATATTTGTATCTGCCTCTATTTATGTAACTGTATGTGCACCAATTTTTCTACTGGTCTTTCCATCAAATTTGAATTTGAAATCGATTGAGGTGGGTGGCGGTGTTAAAGAGTTTTATGGCAAAATTTATGTTTTATCATGCACTTTATTTTATAACATATCAGCAAAATCAAAATAGGTTGAAGTAATTTTCGTGTTGAGGTTTGAGGTTTTTCTAAAAAAATAACACTTGGAATCATTCATCATGCAAATCATCTCATTGATAACTAATTCAACTCAGAATTCATGGGGCATAACATAGCGTTGTCATGGCAATGTTATCTTATGTTTGTTTATTGGCAGTGAAAATGGTAAAAATGTTTATCTATTTGCTGTGCGACCAGGTTTATTTACAAATAAACAAGCAAGGAAGAATGTTATGATAACAGAATCGTCAATGACGCAGTTATCATAAGATGCTTCCTTGCTTGTTTTATGTAAATGCGCCTGGTCGCACAGCAAATAAATAAACATTTTTCACAATTTTTACTATCAATAAACAGCATAAGATAGCGTTGCCCCATCATTCAACATATATTAAACATTTTCCATGTTTTTATAAAATTCTTGAAATGCTTTTTAAAATAACAAAGCGCACATAATATTTGTTTCATACTCATTTTGCTATTGTTAAGATAACTTTTGTCGGTTTAGCTTTATTTTCATTTTTAAGGATTGGAATATTTAGCCATTTGTATATAGCTTAAAATAATTTGATAACTAATAATAGATTAGCACTGAATAAAATTTGATCTTCTGAGGAAATTTAACCATTCTCCTATTAATATTAAGAGATATTTATAATTTTGGATACATAATTAACGTGGATAAAGAAGAATAAATAGATCGCAAACACGGCCGCTTTGTCGTGCTTCATTTTAATTCTTTCGCTCTCCATAGAGTGCTCTCCATAATAGAGGCGCCACCGACTTAGATTTATTTAAAGAAAAAGAAAAACTTGATTAATTCGAACAAATGATATTAGAACATTATATATACAGTAGAAATCCGCTTAGTATGACATTCGAGGGACGGCGAAAATCGTCATATTAGCGGTCGTCATACTAGCGTACGTACTGAAAAAAAAAACAATTTTTGGCGAATATGTTATTAATTTCAGTAATTTAATACATTAATAAACAAAAATTAAGGTAAAAAATGACACATACTAACAATTGACAATTTAATTAAAAATATGACATAACAATGCATTTTTTAATGTAAAAAATCTGTAATTTTTGTTTGAGTTTTAATTACTGGTAAAATTAAAAAATATAGAACTTTACTATTCAGTAATTATAGCAGATGTTATCGCTTCCAATTTTGAACACCAAGAATGAGCCTACTTATTTTTTGCACGAGGTCGTCCATGCCGGAAGTTGCCAAAGTTTCCATAGCGCGAATCTCGTGCAACATAGAGACCTGTGGGTATGTGGGTAGGTATGTAGCGACCTGACACACAAGGGTAGTTCACAGTGGTGCCATACCATAACAATGTGCAATGAAAACATGAACTCTATGTTATCGGAGGTGTAAAACATGTCGGTCATTATACTTGGACCAAATTTTTTTTTCAAAAATGGGTCATTATAAGCGAATGTCAATGTAAGCGAGGTCAACATATCGACTAGACAGCTGTTTTTTTAAGAATTTTATATGGAAACCAAACTGCCTTAACTTTACGTCATAATAAGCGGTTGTCAATATATCCGGCGTCATACTAATCGGATTCTACTGTATATATCTGTTACTTTGGCCCTCTGTTGAGTGCGCAAAACACTAAACCAGGGTAAAGCACATTGTTCTGTATTTACACACCATGAAAATTACCAGGTGTAATTGTCATTTTTCCTTAATAATAATTTTGCTTTCATCGTGAACTAAGGAATGCGATTTCTAATTGATATACAAAATTATAGTATGTTTTTCTTATAATTTAACCACTTTTCTTAGGTCTATAATATTTTAGGATTTTCTCTCAAAACAACACAGTATGATACTATTTTAAAGTAGAGAACAAATAATATTTGAGGGAAAAATTATTTTCGTTATGTCAAAAACAAGTAGAGAGAGTATGATATTTTTTAAAGTAGAGAGCAAATAACATTTGCGGGAAAAATCTGTTCATTATCTCAAAAACAAGAAAGTATAGCATATTTTGTTGATACTATTTTAAAGTAGAGGGCAAATAATATATTTGCAGAAAAAAAATATTTTTGTTATCTCAAAGCAGAAAGTATAGTATATTTTGTTGATACTATTTTAAAGTAGAGGGCAATAATAATATTTAATAGGAGGGTTAGAGAACTGCAAGAAACAAATATTTTTAAAATATATCATTTTTTTATCGATACTATTTAAAGTAGGGGGCAAATAATAATATTTTAGGATTTTCGTTCGGACCAGGGTAAGAGATTTGTTGGAAAAATATTTTTATTATCTAAAAAACAAGAAATTATAGTAGTTTTTATCTATACTATTTTAAAAGTTGAGGGCAAATGACATTTTAGGATTTTTGTTCAAACCGGGGTTAAAAATTTATTTTAATGATCTCAAAACCGAGTAGAGTATAGTATTTTTTAAAGATGCTATTTCAAAGTAGAGGGCCCAAAAATAATATTTGCGGGAAAATTATTTTTATTATCTCAAAACAAGTAAGGTGTGGTATTTTTTAACGATACTATTTTAAAGTAGAGGGCAAATAATATTTTTAAAATTTTCGTTCGGAACGTGAAGTATATTAGTTTTTATCAATATTATTTTAAATTAGAGAGCAAATAATTATATTCTAGGACTTGTTTCAGAGCCAGGTTAAAGGTTTGCGTGCAAAAAATTATTTTCATTATCTTAAATACGAAGTACCGTATTTTTTAACAATAACAATATTTTAAAGTAGAGGGCAAAAGATATAACAAGCCATCGCCTAAATCGGGCGGCATCGCTATCACGAGATCAATGGCCACGTTGCCAAAATTTTAACGAAAATATTATTTTGTAATAGTTAGTTTTTTTGGTTTTGAGATATCGTTCGAATATATAGTTTATAATATTATATATAGGTACAGGATTTTTGGATAAACCGTGGACGAAAAATTTTGCACTTTCCTGCTAATTACAAACAAACGGCTCGGCCGATCGTCTCGAAAAAACTAATAAAATCGAGTTCTTATCCAGTTTTATCGAATAGCTTTTAATTTTAGTAATCGGTACAGCCGTTTTTGTTAAAACGCCGATGAACGGTCAAAATATGATACACATTCATACGCGCGCGCATATTTTTAATTCGAGAAGTTAATTATCCTGGATAAATTTCATATTACTATTCTGAAGTTCGCATATTAACGGTATGTTCCCCCACTTCAGCAGGGCGATTCATCATACTCTCTCTTCTTTATCTATGGCTTCAATTCAATCCTTTTTGTGCAACCTTTGCATTGAGTCATTCTTTTTATAACATGTGGATTAAGTGCATCGAGTCGTTATTATTATAGTGTGTGGAATATTATAATAATAACGACTCGATGCACAAAAGAATAAAAACCATGATTGAATAGTGCTACTGAAACTGGGGGCTCCAACAGGCGTTATGGGAAATATATAACCTCTTCCAGGTACGATATATACACATGTGGTTTTATAATCTCTTCTCATCCTCTCATCGTGTTTTAACTCTTACACCACGTTGCCATAAATGATTTATGTACATCAATACTAATACTTTTTAATATGAATTTTACCATTTTACCATTTTACCATTTTACGATCTCCTAAACCGCCTCTAACCTAATATTGCAAATTTTCAAAATCAACGACAAAGACTATTTTTTACTACCAAGAAATTTGGTGTGCATCCAATTACAGCGTCGTAGTAGGCGACAAACAATTCCGAAATCGCCACAACCACAAACTAGGTACCATACTACTTTGCAGACAGGAATCGAGGAACAAGTAGCAGCCACTGCTTATTTTGATCTGGTTCTGAGGTCTGTTACGGAACCAGGCCTGCTGAAGACTCTGGTGAAGTTCTTGCTGGATGATAATTACGATGGGACCAGGTTGCTGGATGTTTTGGTACAGAGATTGGACTCCGAAGACAGGGTAAGAAGGAAGGAAATAGATATCGGGTTCCTATGGACCCAATTGTAAAGGATTAATTTAAATCATAAGTTAGAGAGTTTAAATTTACATTTGAATGAATTAATATTTGGTTGATTTTTGATACATTTGCAAATACAAATTTATACAGTTGATTAATTTCATACGAATAGTTTTATACTACTTATATACTTGATCTTGCATTTTCAAATTTCAATTTTTAGCTTTGCTTAGTATCACTGGCTCTATTCGAATCGCTGATTGAAATTAACTGCGAGGACATAATGCTGGAACTGATTTTTAAATACTTGTTGAAGGGGGATCATCTTATAGTCGACAGGTAAATAATACTTAAACTTACACCCACATATATATATATATATATATATATATATATATACACTATATATATATATATATATATATATATATATATATTTTCTACCATATTTATATTTTTCTATATATTTTTTTCACGTTTTTCTTGTTTGATGTTGTAACATATTGATATGTAGTAAAATAGCCAATATGTCAAAATAAAAAGAAATACTTATTTTATTTTAAACGATTTGAGACCAGATGTGTCTGATCATTCAGCAGATCAGAAGAAAAAACATAAACTAAAGCACAACCAAATAATCACTGTTAGTCGTGCTAACATAACCTCAGTTTTCAAGAACATTTTTAAGCACTATGTCATTTTTACAATTGTCACAATTCACTTATTTGTGTTCTTACTTCTAATTAGTGCTTTATCTTAAGTATGTGACTAATGAAATCTTTCCTCAAAATATTATATAACATATTTATAAAAGTCACTTGGTTATTTATTATAAATTTTGTAATGTGCTCTTTTACTCAAAACTTTAATAATTACATTTTGTTTCATATAATCAATAAAGTTTAGAAAAACATTTTAATCGATATAGTATTTATAGTTATTTCTGGCACATCTCAGCTGCTTTTTGGCATTAATAATGTAGGCATTACATATTTTTTATTCATAATTATGAACTTATTATACATATTCTAATATTGTCTAGGCCAGTGATTCCCAAAGTGGGCGCTAGCGCCCCCTTGGGGGCGCTGCGGCGATACTGGGGGGCGGTGATGGGCTTTGGTGTATTTAGGGGGCGATGCTTAGTTGTAAGGGGCGTTTAAAGCAAAAAACTAAAAAAATAGTATAATATTAATATTATATATAAATAAATGATTAAAATTAACACTGAATTATATAAAGATAATATTTTAGTTAAAGTTATTCAAACATATCTGCATTGGTGTATTAGTAAATACATCCGTTTTAAAGCTGTGCACCGCCAATTCTTGTTTTGCAAAAGGTTTAATGAAAAGAATGGTCCATACGTTTCTTTGTGTGTCGATAATTTGTGTAACTTTTCAAAAGCGTGTAACTTTACCAAATTTTGTAAGAGATTCTTTAAGAGATTTTCTGTAAGAGATTCTTTAAGAGATTTTCTGTAAGAGATTCTGTAAAATTGGCGGATATATGATCTTTATTTGCCGTGCTATTAATTATATTTCTTTTGATATCTACCCGTAACTGTCCACTCGAATGCTGCGTTTTGTAAAATAGATTTATCGAAGCCTAGTAACTAACTTTACCGTAGGTACGAGCGCACCGCCCGTCATTCCTTTTCCCTCACATTAAAATTATAATCGAAATACATCGATTGGCTTCTAAATTTTTAAAATCGGTTTATGCGTTTTTAAGCAAACATCGTTGAAAGTTCTAATTTTGACAAACGCCATAAAATCGATACCAATTTTTGTAAACTTTGACGAATTTTCTTGTCGAATTGACTTGTCGTAGGACCGTAATATTTTAGTATTATCAATAAGACTGTGGTATCTACCGTCAAAAAAACATAAAAATTGTCTAAAAAATTACTACAACTTATTAATATAGTGTACTTATGTTAATAAAAACACTTTATTACAAGAAAACGGCCTGGCCGATCATTACCAAAAACTAATTAGGTCGATTCCCAAACAATATGTTTCCAACAGTTTTTGAATTTTCAAAATCGATTCAGAATTGCGGGCTAAAACGTGGACGAAATTTTTTTCACTTTTCTGCGATTTACAAAGAAACGGCTCGGCCGATCGTCGAACAAAACTGAGAAACGTTAGTCCTCATCGAGATACATCGAATGGCTTTTAAATTTTTGAAATCGGTCCATCCATTTTTGAGAAAACGACGATTTACGGCAAAAAATCTAAACACACACACACATAATCTTTTCAATTGTTGGTCTCATTCGATTCAGAATGGCTTGAAACGTCGAGAAAACATAAAATTAGCGAATTGGATTTTTTGATGAAAACAAACTTCCGCTTCGGAAAGTTTGTAAGGGGGGCGCTGAGTAACAATTTTTCTGGAAAGGGGGCGGTAGGTGAAATAAGTTTGGGAATCACTGGTCTAGGCTCATAAGTAAATTGAAATTATTTGGCACATGACAGTTTTTATTTGTTAGTGCTACATCTAAAGATATTTTTCCAATAAATTAGTTGCATTAGTATGTGACTAATGAATCCTTTCCTAATACTCATTTGCATCATAGAACGTATGTTAAAATGATAGCAAGGTAAATAGGATGTAGTTCTAAATAGTATTTAACACACTTATAAAAGTCACTTGGTTATTTATTATAAGTTTTGTAATGTGCTCTTTTATTCAAAACTTTAATAATTACATTTTTTTCATTAATAAAGTTTAGAAAAACATTTTAATCAATATATATATTAACGATCAGATTCAAATTTCAATCCGGATTTTGCTTATTATTAGATTGATATAAATTTTTATAACAAAAGGTTACGTCTACAATTTTTTAATACTAATATTTACCGTTTACCTAAAAATAATAAATATTATTTTTTAAATTACTCTTCACACCCATACATCAATATGAGCGATGTTAAATGCAGAACTGCTTTAAATTAAATTGAGTATCAATTCCCACACTATTATATTGGAAATTGAAGTCTTTTAAACTTAAAAAAAAATAATATATAGTGTCCTTGGATTTTTCCAACCATTTTTATAATCTCACATCATATTTTAGCTAGTTTTTAGCAATTATAATATCTAAATTATATTTTTCTTAGTAATAATTTAATATGCATTATTACCAGGGACCCTCCTGGGGTCCCCAGCGCCAGCATGTCATTTTTTTCCTAGCCCCCCTGTCCTTATCATTTTACCCGCTTTAACAGTTTATCATTAAAATTATCATTGTTTATTATTTGGCTTTTGAAAGATTTTACTTATTTATTTTGGGTATTTTATGTGATTTATTCTATTGATCAAATCATAGAGCAAAGCAATTCTAGCACTTTATTAAAAGTAACATTGGTACTTCATGTTGGATTATTTTAATTTAATTTTTTATTATTTAGGATATCCAAAATTGTATCTTTAAGCTTCTCTGAATTGATATTGTAAGGGCTGAATTTCATGTGTTCATCTTTACTTTCCCATTTGTTGTTTTAAAATGAAATTTTTAATGTATTTAAAAAATATTGTGTAAAGATTAGTAAAACTGCAAAGAAATTATATATTTCTTGAATTATATTGAAAAAAAAAACTGTAAAGAAAATATCACATCCAAATCTTGTGCAACATTCCAGATAGGACCGGCCCTGATTATTACCTAATATTATATTTTAAATGAATTAAATAATAATTCAATCTGCCAAACATATACCCTGCATGTTATATTATTTTAATTTCTGGCACATCTACAGCTGATTTTTGGCAATAATAATGTAGGCATTACATATTTTTTATTCATGGTCATGTATTTATTACACATATTCTAATTTTGTCTAGGCTCATAAGTAAATTGAAATTTGTAGCAGATTACAGTTTTCATTTGCTTTCAATGCCGAACAATGTCTCAAATGTTTTCAATGTCAAACATTGACATGTCGTTTTTTGCATTTCTTTCCATTTATTCCTACAATATTACTATATCTTTATAATCATATTTAAATCCTAAAAAATTCACTTAACAAACTTTAGAAACATTTATCAAAATCCAAATAATTGTTTAGGAGAAGTATATTTACATACATCATTACAGATGAATTTCATATATGATATATTTGTATATATATAAAATAAAATTTTATTTTGTGTATTTATTTCAGCCGGTTTACCCATTTCCTGGACGACATGAATTTTCACAATGTCGAAAAGTTTCTTGCACTGTCACCAAACATAATGCAATCATGTTCCAAATTGATAGATAGAGATCTGAATAAATCAACTTATGTGCGACCTGAAACACCACCTATTTCAAAAAATATGCCTACTAATTGGAATCACTATGGGGTAAGATAATATAAACTGTTAATATGTTTTAACTAACCTCTTCTACGCTGTTTTTGAATAATAGATCATGCTACTTTAAGTTTACTATTTATTAAAATCTGTTTAATATTTTATAAATAAGTTAACTTTTTTATTTCTTTTCAAATAACTTTTATTATTTTATCTTATTTTATGTAAATAAAATTCCGTATTATGTAATTTTGTTTAAGTGCCTTATTAATTTTACTATATATTGCAATTTGTTATCCATAATGTAAAATTATTATATTTTAAGTTCTCTTGGAAAAAATCTGTGGGCTATATATTTAAAAAGTAAAATATAAATAAAAATATAAATTAAAAATGATTCTTTTTTTTCAGTTGTACTCTAGTGGAACCTTGTATCGTAATTACCACGCATATCTCTGCGATGCCCACCAAAAACTGGTAACATGCCAAAAAGCCTGTGAAGTATGGTCTAATCGTTACGACCACAGCCTAAAATCTACCAAACACACAACCAACAACTCAGACAATACATCTTCCTATTCTTTATTCAATGAACCAATAAAAACAAGCTTTACATCGACACCAACTAGTTTAATATCATCTGATCCTGCTCTATTGGACACTGTGAAGGAGTTCCTTCACGAAGCAGCCAGTTTGAACTTGATCGAAGACGAGAATGCTATTTTGGAGCATTTGACTTCAGGAAATGATAATAATAATGAAGATTGTTCGAAGAAACAATTGGATAGTCTGCAGTCATTGGGTGATAGTAGTGGGTATGAGAGTTTTAAATATAAACCGGATGATTTTCTTGGAGCAGGGGGAGATGATGGACATAGTAAGGATGTTAGTTGTCTTTCGGAAGAGGAGAAGGAAGTTAAAGCTAATATTATGTTTAGTAGTGGCGGTGATAGTGATTTAGTTGATGCGAATTGTATAGGTAAATAAAATTGGGTACACTATTTCCTTTGAATCATATAAAATTATTCTATTACTTTTATTATTTATGCAGGTGAATTTCTGGCAATACTGTTTTCTAAGCTTCAAGCCATGCCTTCGAATTCTGTTTATGTTAATATTCATTTGACGGGGCTTTTGTCCAGGCTGAGTGTGTTCCCACAAGATTTGCTTCGGACATTATTACTTAGTACTCATACTCATACCAAAGCACCAATTCGAACTGTATATCAGGTACATTATGTTTAATAAAACTACATATTTAATTTAAGATAGATTTTCTGTCCTGGAGCTTGAAATATTATTAAGTTCTTAAAAACTCAGAAGAAGGGTAAAGATTTTTGAAGGATCTGATCTAGAAACATTCAGATATTCTACAATATTTTTATCAGACAATTTATAATATTTTTAGATGATTTACGACGTTTTTAGGTGGTTTACAATGTTTTCAGATGATTTGGTTCACAGTATTTTTAGACAATTTACTAAGTTTTAAGACAATTTACTGCATTTTTACTGAATTTCAGACAACTTACAGCATTTTTAGACGATTTACAGCATTTGCAGACAATTTACAATATTTATTACAGCATTTACAGACGATTTACAACATTTACTGACTATTTACAGCGTTCTCAGACAACATACAGCATTTTCAGACAATTTATAGCGTTTTCAGACGATTTATAACGTTTTTAAACAGTTGACAACATTTCAAAAAGATTTACAACGTTTTCAGATAGTTTATAGTATTTTCTGATAGTTTACAGTATTTTCAGATGGTTAAAAATATCTTCAGGTGGTTTACAGCATTTTCAGACGATTTTCATATTTTTAGACGCTTTACAATATTTTCTGATGATTTACAACATTTTCAGGCGGTTTACAGCATTTTCAGAATATTTACAAAATTTTCAAACTGTTTACAACATTTCCAAACTGTTTACAGCATTTTCAGACTGCTTACAACATTTTCAGATGGTTTATATCATTTTCAGTCTGTTTACAGCATTTTACAGCATTTTCAGTCAATTTACAGCATTTTCAATCAATTTACATTATTTTCAGAGTGTTGATAGCATTCTCAGAAAGTTGATATCATTTTCAGTCAATTTACAGCATTTTCAGACAACTTACAGCGGTTTACAATATTTTTAGATAATTTACAGTTTTTTCAGACAATTTAGAGTATTTTTAAACATTTTCAGTCAATTTGCAGCATTTTTAGACAATTTACAGTATTTTCATACAACTCACAGTATTTTCATACAACTTACAGTATTTTCATACAATTTACAGTATTTTCATACAACTTACAGTATTTTCAGACAATCTAACAGTATTTTCAGATGGTTTAGAGCATTTTCAGTCAATTTACAGCATTTTCAAGGAGTTGATTGCATTTTCAGTCAATTTACAGCACTTGCAGACAATTTACATAATTTTCAGATGTTTTACAAGGTTTTTACTACCTGCAATACTTCTAAATAGAACTAATATTCTGAAATATTAAAATAAATTTGCAATCAATCATTTATATTATCCTTTTTTTCAGATCATCTTATCAGTACGAGAATACATCGACACAAGTCTATCAGTACAAGTACAAGATTCCGTTCAGATAGCAGAACAAGCTCAAAGTTTTCTATTAGAAAGAGAATCTAGACTTGTGAATGCCAGAAAGAATGCCATCGAAGCAGCCAATAAGAATAGAAATCAAGCTGCCAATAGTACTGCAATACTTGGAGGTACAATAATAAAACACACTTTGTTATTAATAAACTCATGATTCATTATTAATCCTATTATATTTTTTTTTTAGGTACAAATTCTTTCGACACAAGATATCGAGCAGTTGAAAGCAACAATAGGACTGCTTTAGCAGCTCAATATAGTTCAACAAATTATGATCCGTTCAAAAGAAATGAACCCAAACGAAAAAGCATAAGTACATCACTGACGCAAATATTTAAACGGACGAATTTAAATTCAGGTAAGTTTAGATATTGGTATATTTATTATTTATTCACACATTTTTTCATTCGGTTTTGCTTGAAATGAATGGTTTGTTTTGAATTTTTGAGATTGATACAGCTCAAAAGAGAATTTTTTAAACTACATAATGGAGGAATCTTTTTATTAATTCACCTGCTAATTGTGAACCAAAAAGCATTCAATATAAAATATTTTATTTGTCAAGTGTTTCTTTATTGTAAAACTTAATCAGAAAATTATTTTAATTGCAATTTCCAACCAGAAGGTTATTTCAATTGCTTAGTAGAAGCTTTGCATTTTGAACCTAAGATAATAATAATTTTAAAAAAAAATAAGAGGAAAAACTTTTTAACTTCCCGAAGGAGAAGTTTATGTTTCCATTATTTCTCAAATGATAGTTGAAAATTGGAATTGCTTTTTAGTCGACTCGTATAGTTTCTTTAGGATTTGTTAACTTTATAAACTATTAAACTATCATGAAACTATTAAAATAAATATCTAAATTTAGCATATTTTCAGTTGCATTATAATAATTAAATCTTTTATCTTTTTGAAGTAAAACTTCTTTAGGCGCGACATGGGTTAGCAGTATAATTCGTGAGTTAATAAAAATGTCAGGATCGGAAGAATATTTTATCCCGTCCCCCATAAATAATTGTAGTGCAAATGATCGCAAATAAATAATGAAAACTAAGGAAAAATTTGCGCTGCGTAAGAAATGATAGCTTTGGCTATGTATGTTTTGTGTGTGATCGACTTTGGCTTCAAAGTGACTTAGAAATATCAAATGATGCTCTAAAACAAATTCTTAGTAATGGTTTTTGAATATTGATTGAAATAATCAGGTCGGACGTCAAACTTGTCGAAAGATATTAAATTCGGTTAAAATTCCCACTTTGTGTAAATTTAACGAGTTTGTATTTTCACCTATACCAAATTATCTACCTAAACTAGATACTGAATCTGAAAGGTTAATTTCGCCTAGGTTGTGTTTCATGCAAATTAGACGATTGCAGCATGCAAATGGACAATTCGGAATGTTTGGCCAAATTATAAATGTGCCTGTTGACATTAATAATATGGTTAATTTATTACCTCGTAATATTGATGATTAACGTTCACATAAAAAAGCAAATGATTCATAGATCAAGCTATGTGCAAGGCTTGATAAATAAAACAAATATAAAAGTATGGCTTCAATTTGTTAGGCAAGACGGATATTACAGCTGTTCAAGGAATGAAATTATATCGTCAGCGAAAACGTAAAAAAATACAAACAGTAAATGAATGTATGTTAATTTTAATTACATGAAGTTCTTCAAACACAATTGTTACAGGATGAGTTAATTTGCAAAAACAATATTTGTTTAGGCGTTGTTTAACATAATCCACTGTGTGAATGAATATTATAAAATTTATTAATCAGCAATTACTTTAAAACGATCATGTCATATTTCAAGTACGACTTTGATTACATTATTGTTCACAATCATAAATATATAATTTATAATTTATCATTATATAAATGTGTATAATGATTGACGACACTAATAAATGTGTGCATCACGATTGTTACCATATTACTTATAAACATTGTTCAAAATTTTTATATGATATATTTATTTTTACTCAACTTAAATTTGCTACTTTATACAGTAGCAAATAAGTTTTACTTCAATCGCGTGTGATCCTTACGCGCACTCTTTTTTTTTCTTTTGAGCTGTATCATCAGTGCACTTGCCACATCATTTTATTATTTATCACATATCATATTTATGAATGTCTGCATATATGAATTGCAATAAATCAGAAATAATATTGTATTTTTCTCTTTTTTGCATTTCATCAACAGCGTCCACGGGTTTATCATCGATTTACGAATTCTTCAAGGGTAAATACACAAAAACACCATTTAAATCGGAATTAATATTAATAATTGCATGATAAATGTTTTAAAAAAAATTCTACGTGGTGTATCTATGCGGTTTTGTTAATTTAGATATTGTTATGAATTCACCAAGGGTTATTAAGTATTTATATAAAATTCTAAAATGTGGAAAAACTATCATGGTCCACAAATTTTGTTTTTAAAATAAATTTTGGTTCATATTGTTTAAAAATATACTCAACAAATTTATAAAATTGCTGCAGGTTAGAAAATCTTGATTAATTTTGTATTTACAAGTTAGTTTTGTACAAATTTGCCAAAAATTATTTTTAAATTGTACAATTATCTTTTACATTAAAATCTAAATATTGGTAAACGTATTTCGTTAATACGAAATTTTATTCAAAAATTGTATTTATCATAATAGAATTCGAGTTTTTGAGAGAATTGAGTATCCAATTTAAATTATCCAAAAAAAATTCAATTTGTAATGATAAGGGGACGTTGTGTTTAGTTTTTGGCAAAGGCAGGTCTAGCCATTTCGGAGATACGGAGCTAAATGTACAAAATATGGCAGTTTTAAATGATTCAAAAAACTTTCTGCTTGTGTTGACGAAACAATTGCTTTTGGGATTTTTCTTTTTTTCAAAATTAAAATTGTTTTTTACCAATTTTTTCAAAATAATTCGGATTTTAATTTTAATTTCTTCATAATCTTTTATATTTTGTCCATAAAATAAGAATAATAAAAGTTACAGTATTTATAATAATCTATTTAAAAACATTTAATATTCCTCAAATATTTTCTCATGGTACGGGAAGTTCCAGCAACTTGCCTTAAGGCACGATGCCATACACCACTAGTTCTAATTACAATCAAGATAGATTCGAGCGGACACATCACTAGTATATCATTATTAATTATATAAATATTTGAATAACCCACCTTGGTGAATTTATGATAATTCTACTATCTGTAACGAATATTTTTTTAATTATTTTATAACTCGGGATTTTATATTATCTTTGCATGATAGACCGGTAACAAAAAATTAAAACAACATATAATTTTATGTATGAGATTTTCAAATTTATATTCGCATGTTTATTAATATTTCATCTGAATGATTTCTTAAAGAAATATTTTGTTGTGTATGTGTGTAATGAAAAATAATGTTCGAGCATGTATTGGTAATTGTGAAGAGTCATATCTATTTTTTTCATATATATATATATATATATACATATATATATATATATATATATATATATATATATAATTTGTGATGTTTATGAATGCATTTAATTATGTAATTAAACTTCTTCTGCTCATGATATAATATTCGATGTGTTGTTTTTGAGTGCATGAATGAACCATTGATATATTTAATAAATAATATTTATAATATGTTTGGAATGAACTATTGTAAGTCATTAGTAATGAAAAATTAAGACGGTACATGATGTAAAGGTAGTGTAGTGTTTTTTAAACTCAATGTCGAAGATATTGATGTTAGGTGAGGTAAAGACTTTACTGCGAAACAGTTTTAGTCCTTTTTTATCTTCTATTTCTGAATTTGCTCGTCAGTAGAGTTTCTTTTTTTTTCTATATAGTTTTTAATGTTTCCTTCAAATTCAAGTTTGCATATCAATAAGGTTATTTTTAGCTTCTAAACCAAAATTAACTTTTGCTCGTCAGTAGAGTCCCTTTTCTATCTCCAAACATCGAAACTTAGTATAGTCCCATTTGAAAATATTCATAAAATTTGTAATGTATTGTAAAAAGGGACTCTACTGGTAAGCAAAAAAAGAGAAAAGGAAACTCTACTGAGTGAACTAAATTTAAGTCCCTTAAGTAAAATTTTTCACACTCAGTAACATCAATTTCTTCTTCACAAATATCTTTTATATATATAAAAATAATGTGCCTTAATGCAAGCTGCTGGAACTTCACGCACAGTAATTAAAAATTCGAGTAATGACATTAGTGAGAATTATCAGAATTATGCTTGGTTAAGTCAACGAGCAATTCTTGCCGTAAAGAATAATGATGTTCACGCACTGAATTTCACCATTCAATCAAAAATTTCTGGCGATTTGGTGACATACCAATGATTCCGACTGGTCTTCCGTTTGACTTCAAAATGATTGCAATTTCCAGTTCGCCTTGCGTTTGCAATAACAAGTCGCAAGGCCAATCGCTTTGTGTTTGCGGGATAAATTTCAAATAGATTATTTAGAAAATCATTTTTTTTTACATGGGCAGTTATACGTTGCATGTTCACAAGTTGGAAAACCATCCGCTTTGTTTGTGTTAACGTCAGACCAAAAAACAAAAAATGTGGTTTACCAAAGAGCACTTCAATGAAACGGATAATTTGCGGATTCACTTTCATTTACTTAGAGAAGTTCAATTGAAAAACACTTCATTTTTGTAATCGAAATAAATTTATTACTGTTGTATAATAAAATCAAATTTTTCCTTTTCAAATATAAAACAAACAAAAAATTCCTTCATCTTTCTCACGAAACCATCTGGTCGCGAAACGGAGTTCGTCGGGTTTGCTAATATATATATTTTATATATATATATATATATATATATATATATTATATTTTTATCCTCAGGTAATTCCACCACAAACAATGGAAACAGTGGCGAACCCCAATCCCAGATCAACATAGCTGACAATATTACCGTGCAATATAGTCCTGCCACTTACTGGGGCATCGAGGCCAATAGAAGTCTCATGACCAACGACAATGGTGCTAATTCATCCTCGTCCAACGATAGTTTATATAATCTCGTTATGTCTGCAGTGATTCTGGACGAATGGGTCAAGGAACTCGCTGCCATTTTACAGGAGCAGACGATAGAATTCTTGAATAAGGCCACGTGATTGGAACAGAAAATTTGTAATAGTTAGTAATAAAATGAATTATGTTTTTTATGATATTGTCTATACAGCAAGAGATATAGAATTTTAATCAGAGGAACAGGATTTTTTATATAAATGACTTTGATTATTTTTATCTCTGTATTAACAATATCATACTGAACTTAATTCATATCGATCTGTGTGATTGTTCAAAATTTTATTGAATGTGTTGTTTATGCTTTCGCGATCGTTTTAATGACATAATGGCAATAATAATTAATTTTTCTTGTTAATATTTTAGTGAAGTTTAGAGTTTGTTGTATATTTAGTTACATAGATAATCGGGCATGTTGTGGTAATAGATAGATATGAAAATTAAGGGGCAATTCTGGCTATCATAGCGTTGTCATGGCAACGCTCTCTTATGCTTGTTCTTGGTTTTAAATATTATGAAAAGGTTTATCTATTTGCTGTGCGATCAGACGTTTTTTACATATAAACAAAGTAAGAAAGAATGTTATGATAACTGCATCATAGAAGATTATGTTATCATAACATTCTTTCTTGCTTGTTTATATGTGAAATACGCCATTCTTTCTTGCTTGTTTATATGTGAAATACGCCTTGATTGCACAGCAAATAAATAGACATTTTCATAGTTTTCAATGTTCTTCTTCGAAAACACTACTATTAATATTTTTGAGAAAGTCCAGTGCTATATTTTTTTATTATTTCTTTGACATCTTCTACATGAATCCCATTTACATCGAGATTTATTTTGTTTCAACACTTAATTTGTTTCAACACTTAGTATTTATTAATTTAATTTTTGTTATTTAAATATTTTGGAAATACGGACTTGTGAAATTACAAAAAGCAAAAAATATTTATTGTTATAATTTCAAGCAATATAATAATACTTGATTAAATCGAGTGGATAAACCATTACTACGCAATTAATATTGATATATGATTAAAACGGCTGACTATAAAATGATTTACTATCATAAAACAACCAAAATATTTTTGGGGTAGAAAAATCATTGCTGCAGCTGATGAAATTTTTCAAATTTTTATTTTTTCATTAACATTTTTGGAGAAATCTGTTACTCGCTTAAATAGGATTTTACTCATATATCGAAGCAACAAATTAGTCCTTTGGCGACACGTATCTCGAAACATACCAAACAACTCGTATGTCGGGGTACCACTGTATATTAGAGGGGTATAGTAAGATTTACCGGAATTTTTTGAACATTTTCAAACAAAATTTAAAAATTTTACAATTTTTTCCCGTAACTAAAAATACACTTGATGTTTGGCCGGGAAGGGGGGTATTTTGAATATTACTACGTATCACCAAGAGAGGAGGGGGGTCCAAAAATCCTTAAAAATTCGATCACGTGATTAATGGACGCCCCTGAACATAATTTGTGTTACACAACATACACATAAGGGGGCGTTCTTTAATCACGTGATCGATTTTTTTAGGGATTTCTAGAACTCGCTCTAGGTGATGGTGATATTTAAAATTATCTCCCTCCCCACCAAACATTACGTGTAGTTTTAGTTACATAAAATTTTCCGAACAAATTTTTGGAATTTACAAAATAAATGTAAAATTTGAGTTTTTTTTTTAAATTCAGATAAAAAGAAAGTACACGTGATACCTTACTAAATTCTTATCTCCCCCTTGGTGATTTGTCGTGATATTTAAAATTATCCCTTCTCTCCCACCAAATATTACATTATTTACGTAAAATTTTCCGAACAAATATTTCGAATTTACGAAATAAACGTTAATTTTTTTTTAATTTGGTTAAAATAAAAATACACGTGATATCTTACTAGACTCCTCTTTCCTCCTTGGTGATTTGTCGTGATATTTAAATTTATCCCCCCTCCCTCAACATACTTTACGTGCATTTTTAGTTACGTAAAATTTTCCGAACTAATTTTTTAAATTCATTAATATTTGAAATAAATTTAAAATTTGTGTTTTTTTTAATTTAGGTAAAAAATAAATACACGTGATATCTTACTAGACTCTTCCCTCCGCCTCGGTGATTCGTCGTGATATTTGAAATTATCCCTCCTCCCTCAACAAAATTTACGTGTATTTTTAGTTACGTAAAATTTTCCGAATGAATTTTTCGAATTTACGAAATAAGCGTAAAATTTCTGTTTTTTTTTTTAATTATGATTTTAATTGTGATTTTTTTAAATCCTTCTCTTCTTTCCCTAAAAGCCTTACGTGATTAATCCTAATTTTTTTTAAACGTTGATCAATTATTTTGGTTAGATTTTGATTAAATTTGACTTGTTTTTCTTCGGGTTTGTGCTCGTCTGGAATTTGTTGAAACTTTGTATGACTCTAAGGTTGATGGTCAAAAACATTTAAAACCTTAAATTTTGAACGTCTTCGAAACTTCGGTTCGGTTGTAGTAGTTTATTAAATTTTGGAAAATTGAGCTGCACTCTTTACTTGCACATATCGTGTGCTCTATCGTCATGTTGGGATGGTCTTGTGGTGTTCTGCTCTTTTCTCTAAGAATAAAAGTATTTTAAATGTATATTTTAAGATTTCATTCTTTTAAATCAACAAACCATTGGCACTAAAAGGAAGCATAAGTTTGTACTCACAAGTACAGCACTACTGTTCTAAATGATAATGGAAACATTCATTTGAAAGTTGACTCCGAAGACGATTAAGGATGGCAGGAAGTCTTGAGATACTATGCAGTAGTGGTGTACATCCATCGGGGTAATCTAAAAAACTAATTATAAGCCTTGGCTGTAACAGACCAAAATCTACTCATAGACACCGAACTGATTCATAGGTTCAATTCTTTCAGAAATCAAGTTGTAGTTTCTAAAATATTTTTTTATTCTGTTTGGTGTTCATGATGTAGGTTTTGGTCCGTAACAGTCACGGGTTTAGTTTTTTAAATCCTCCAGTAGGATAATTACTATTACATAGCATCTTAAGATTTCCTGCTTCCCTTATCATCCGAAGAGTTAACTTAAAAATGAATTCGCGTTTCCACTTAGAATGGTTTTGTTGAATTTGTGAGTTATGAACTTGTGCTTCTATTCAGCGCACTGGTTTGTTGATTTTAAAGTTTGAATTTTGAAATATATATTTATTATACTTGTTTTTAGTGAAAGGAGCAAAATACTGCAAGTCCATTTCCAGCATGGCGGGGGATAACATGATATGTACAGGTATTGCGAGCATCCTAATTTTTTTTTAGTTTTGATTAATTGTTATGGTTAAACTATGTTTTGTAGGCTTGTAATATTTTAAGGGCTTCGTTTTGATTATTGATCGTACAAAGGGTTACCAAAATCATAGGCGAGTAAAACTTTCTTATTGCAAGTTTGATAAAGAAAAAAATCTATTGAAAATTAAGCCGACTTTGAGCCATGGTTTCTTCGACAAATTATTTTTGAAAAAGGACTATATATAAACAAATGGTCGAAATGATAAGCAATAATTTTACTATTCATTTAGTACGTTTTGGAACTTGTATGCCAACATTCAGGTTTAATAAAAATACAAATACAAAACGCTATACGAGTAATTTAAAATAATTAACTAATAATTTATTTTAGTTTTTTATCATTATATACGATGTATTTCTTTTCCAAATAATTAATTTAATAAAAAACCATAAGTTGTTTGTAGATATTTAAATACGACGTTTCGGACCCTATATGTTTCATCATCAGGTTTTTTTTCCGAAAAACACTTTTGATTGAATAATTTAGTTGCGACGTTTCGGATCTTATGTTACATCATCCAGTTTTTTTTCGTAAAAACACATTTTTTTAGTAATTATCTTTTAGTTACGACGTTTTGCAACTTATATGTTCCTTCATGAGATTTTTTTTTGTCAAGAACACGTTTTTTTATTATTTACTTTATTGAATGATTTAGTTACGACGTTTCGGAACTTATATGTTCCATCATCAGTTTTTTTTTGTCAAAAACACGTTTTAGTAATTAACTTATTGAATAATTTAGTTAGTTTTTTATTATTTACTTTATTGAATGATTTAGTTACGACGTTTCGGAACTTATATGTTCCATCATCAGGTTTTTTTTGTCAAAAACATGTTTTAGTAATTAACTTATTGAATAATTCAGTTACAGTTTTTTATTATTTACTTTATTGAATTATTTAGTTACGACGTTTCGGAACTTATATGTTCCATCATCAGGTTTTTTTTGTCAAAAACACGTTTTAGTAATTAACTTATTGAATAATTCAGTTACAGTTTTTTATTATTTACTTTATTGAATGATTTAGTTACGACGTTTCGGAACTTATATGTTCCATCATCAGGTTTTTTTGTCAAAAACATGTTTTAGTAATTAACTTATTGAATAATTCAGTTACAGTTTTTTATTATTTACTTTATTGAATTATTTAGTTACGACGTTTCGGAACTTATATGTTCCATCATCAGGTTTTTTTTGTCAAAAACACGTTTTAGTAATTAACTTATGAATAATTCAGTTACAGTTTTTTATTATTTACTTTATTGAATGATTTAGTTACGACGTTTCGGAACTTATATGTTCCATCATCAGGTTTTTTTGTCAAAAACACGTTTTAGTAATTAACTTATTGAATAATTTAGTTACAGTTTTTTATTATTTACTTTATTGAATGATTTAGTTACGACGTTTCGGAACTTATATGTTCCATCATCAGGTTTTTTTTGTCAAAAACACGTTTTAGTAATTAACTTATTGAATAATTTAGTTACAGTTTTTTATTATTTACTTTATTGAATGATTTAGTTACGACGTTTCGGAACTTATATGTTCCATCATCAGTTTTTTTTGTCAAAAACACGTTTTAGTAATTAACTTATTGAATAATTTAGTTACAACGTTTTGCAACTTCAGAAACACATTTTTTTTAGTAAGTACTTTAATTGAATAATTTAATTAACGCCGTATGATAATATTTTTTAATAAACGGATTATATAAAATTAAAAATTGAGAAACAAAAATTATCATCCTGCAGTTTTTATCTATCTTGTCTCGCAATTCCTAGTATTTTTTTAGATTTCTAAAAAGATATTTACAAGTATTACAAAGTCTACATTTAAAAGCTTTTTATCATAGTATATTTACAAAGAATTTCAATCACGAAGTTACGCGGTTAAACATCTACAAAAAACTTATTGCTTTTATTTATTAGAATATTTATTTGGAAAGTTAGAATTCATCTATTAAATATGTACGTTGTATAATATATATATATATATATATATATAATATATATATATATATAAAATTTCTCATATCTATATATTACCATTGCCCATGCGAATTAGTTCAAAACTAAAGATTTCCTTCATGTGTTAATTTATTGATTAGAGTTATTAAATAACTATTGTAATATTTTGTTCTCATATATTTATATAAATACTAACAAATTATTGTATTCACCAGTGTTATATTTTTTAATTTTAAGTTACGATAACAAAGGGTTATATGCAATATAACATAAAGAATAGTATTTTAAAGATATGCGCACCATGGACCAAATTGGTAATTGAAAATGAAATATATATATTATATATATATATATATATATATATATATATAAAGCAAGAGGTTTTTCTTCAGATGGTGAAATAATATGATAAAGTTGTTCTTGGGCAGTAATTAAAAACAGTTTTATTGAAGGAAAATGTTTTTATTATGAGAACGTACGTTTCGTGTCTTGATTTGACCCATCTTCAGTGCTACATTAAAATATTTCAGGGTTACAATTTAAAACAATATAAAAAATACACAATTACAGAAAAATACAAATAAAAACATGTAAAAAAGCCTAAATCTAATCAATACTTTCACAATATATATTAGTTATAAAACAAATTTATTAAATTGATCAGATTTATGCTTTTTTACATGTTTTTATTTATTTTTGTCTGTAATTATGTATTTTTTATATTGTTTTAAATTGTAACCCTGAAATATTCTAATTGTAGCACTGATGATGGGTCAAATCCGAACCCGAAACGTATGTTTTGTTAATAAAAACATTTTCTATCAATAAAACTGTTTTTAATTACTGGATGGATGCCCAAGAACAGCTTTATATATATATATATATATATATATATATATATATATATATATATATATATAATACAATTTGGTCCATAAAATGTTTATTGAATGTGAAAATAAATTCAATAACGCATTCTTGCCTTCAAAACCTCAAACAACCAAAATACTAACTAAATTTAAGAAATCACTAAAAATTGTTTTATACAATTGTATATAAAATATTTAAAGGCTGGCACAGTGCATGCACAGGAATATTTATAAATTAAAAATATAAATAAATGTTTTATACTGTGGAGTAAAAATTTCGTCATGATATTAAGGTAGCAATTCTGCCTAATAAAATAGCGTTGTCATGGCAACGCTATCTTATGCTTGTTCTTGGTATTGAAAATTATGAAAATGTGTATCTATTTGCTGTGCGATCAGGCGTATTTTACATATAAACAAGCAAGGAATAATGTTATGATAACAGAATTCTATTTTTTTTTAAATCATAATATCTGTTACAACTGCTAAATAATATAACATCTAGTAGCATAAGTGAAAAATAACATAAATATAAATAAAATAGAGTACAAAATACAAGATAGTACTTTCATCAAAATGATATCCGTATTATGATGATTTAATATGAAATAGAAGCGAGTTATAATAATAAATAAAATTTGTGAATAATAAAAATAATACTAGAGAAACAATAAAATAGAATAAAAACAATAGGTGACAAATAATAATAAATGTAACAAAACAGAATTCTAAATGGTGCAGTTTTCATAAGATTTTTTCTTGCTTTTTTAGGGGCGTCCATTAACCACGTGAGGTTTTTTTAACTGATTTTCTTTTAAAAAATTCAAAATTTTCAAAAAAAATATTTCAAAACAGTTTTTCAGTTTTTTCTTGTAACTACACATTATGTTTGGTGGGGGAGTTTAAAAATCGATCACGTGATTCCTTTATATGTAAAATACGCCTGATCGCACGGCCAATAGATATTTTTGCAATTTTCACTGCCAATAGATATTTTTGCAATTTTCACTGCCAATAAACAAGTATAAGGTAGCATTGCCATGACAATGCTATTTTATGAAGCCGAATTGCCTGGTAAAAAGGTTTTAATATAGATGTATGCTCAATCAATTTTAATATTGCTGTCGTCAGTTTCAACTAATGAGGATTCTATGTGATGATTATTATAATTGTTAAAGATTATCAACAAGTTTTTATAAGTAAGTTTATATATAATAAAAACAAATGTGTGTACAAATATTTTATATAATGTATTTAAAAAATTACAAGACTTTTTTGGCTAAAACTTATCTGTATTCTTGTTTTAAAAATCATATTACAAAACATATATTTGTATCCACTACAATAAACCTTGTCGCTTCAAGTCCTCATACGTTTTCCTGTTCACAACATTTCCAAGTGAGTCCTCAAATTCTTCATCTTGTTCCGGGTGCCATCTTTCACCTTGTTTTTGATTTTTCAGTTTCTCCCACAGTGCCAGAGCGTCTTCGATTTGGGTCACATTGGCAAAATGGGCAGTGTTGGGGATTCCTAGACAACGCATGCCGTGGGCGTGACGCCATTCTGCAAAGTGCCTTTGGAAAGCTTTGGGACCTAGAAAAAAATTAGCAGGTAAAGTACAGAATGTATTGAAAAATATGTTTGGAATTTACGAACCTTTGTAAGTAAAGTTTCCACATATTTCACAATTATAGCTTATATTCAAGCCGTGCAGTTTGTACAACCAGTATGGAATCGGTTTGCCGTCCCATCCAAGCGGTAGGTTTTTGGGATTATGCGGTACATCATCAGTATCATCTTCATCTGATTCACTAGCGCTCGCTTCAACATCGCTATCATCACGCTCACCTTCGGTACGTGCTTGTTTTCTTTGTACATTCTCCTTCGTAGCTAATCTTTGCTCGCTTAAAATATCAGAAAATCTATATATTTGTGCCTCTAAAAATGCTATTTCTTTCTGTCGCTCATTATCTTTGGATTGCTCTTTTCCTTGTTTGTTTTTAGCTAATAAATTAGAATCAAAAGACTTTTTGCCTTTTGTTGAAAACAGTCTTTGTGCACGTTCTTCTAACGTACCCCCGCATTTCAAACCTAAAGCTAACAGGGCTGATTTTAATCTATCTAAACCTAAAGATGCTAATTCTTCCCAACTGGAAAACGCGGATAAATCTAAATGTGCTCCGATATTTGTCAAAGCACTACCTGCTTCTTTGGGCCAACCAGGAAAACTACCGTTCTCCCACTGTTCGATAAAGTCTTTATGAACCGAATTCAGTTCCTTTTCAATATCCAAAAGCGGTTTTATCCTGGTGATATAATCATGCAAATAATTGAGCAACATTTCTAAATATTTGCGGTACTCGGAATTTTTACGGTCTTTCGGGATTTCAAACAAGTGATCAAAACTTGTTAAGTAGGATATGTAATCGATTTTGTCAATGTTTTTGAGGTTAATATACTTTTCATAACATTCGTGTAGATCTAAATATTTACCATAACCTTCTTCGTCGGTGAACTCAACAAGATTTGTGTATTCTTCTGAGGTGTTATTACGCATGTTATCTAACTCTTGGAATTCTACGCAAAGGGGGACACTTATCTCGTGTGGGTGCTTTCGGTAGAACTCTTTGATTTGTTTTAGACGGTTGTAGAATTCATTGAACTCGTTTGGGCCTGACAGGGCAGCGACTTCATCTTTTCGGGCGCCGTCTTTATCTTCGTATAATTCTTTCAGATTTTTTGTACTGTTCATGTGATGGTCTAATAACATTTTTAATCTGTGATCGGAATTTATATTGTCACGTACTGTTGTTTTCTTGAAAATCATTTCTTTAACCATTGCGTCGACTAAACGTTCGCGTTCTTCGTGGTAACGTCGCTGTTGCTCGAGTAACGTCTCCATGATAACTTAGTAATTAGATAAATAATTGTTTATGTAAAGTAAATTAAATAAGCAACATGCTTTATATATATTTTTTGGAAATATTTTGTCGGCTTATTTAATGACAGTAAAGTGTCAAACACAAAACTTTAAGAGAACGATTGCCAACCTGTAGTGTTATTTAGGCTACAACTTCATGTCAGCGGCAAATACAAAAAACTAATATTCAAATTAAATGTTTTTACAAATAATAAAGCATACTCGATTTATTTTAGATATAAATTTTTATATATATATATATATATATATATATATATATATTATCAATTTAAATATATCTTTTATCATATATCATTTATCTTTTAAATTAATTTTCACTTACATGTTTACCATCCTGTCTCTTGCATCTCGTTGCGTCCAGAACTGTCAAATACCTTAACGAGAATTTGTGAGGTTAAATTTGCACTTTATGCAAAAATAATATGTATTATTTTAATTAAAAGGTGTACTTAGAATATAATGGAAGAGTTTTTGTTAAATTTTCATAGACAAGATATTGAAACCATATTGGAGCATGATGATGACACCGAATACTTCTCGCTGCACGTAAAGTACGTTAGTTTGAATTATAATAATAATTGAGATAAAGGACAGTCTTTGTATTTTGCTTTGATTTATGCATTCAATCATTTTTAATTGTTTTGACTAAATGCAGACTGACAAAACATTCTATATGAGTAGAAAAATGTATACGTATAGCTTTACAAATATCTACTTAAATACATTTAGATTTAAGTCAGATACAGAAAAATGTCTGTGACTCTTAGTTCAAACATTTAGCTTAAATATTTGCATGATTATATAACAAGAATAAAACCAGTTATTCCAGTTATATTGAAATCTTATTGATTAGTTTGATTAATTACACAAATCAGAAGTTTCTTAAGGAAATATGTCATGTACACCTTTATGTTGTATTTGAATACTGAAAACTTGTAAAAATAATATTAACTCTTGCAAACTTTATCAATCTAGTCATTCCTTTAACTATTTATCATTCCATTTTGCAGCTTTACAGAATTGAACAACAACGCTCCAGTTTTAGCATCAAGTCTCCTCTCGCATCCTAGTCTCAGTTTAAAATTATGGAACGAAGCTTTAATTGCAGCACAGCAAGAACTCTTAAATTCTATTCAAGGCGATAAAATCTATATGATGAGTGTAAAATTCAAAGTACGAGTTAGATTTCAAAATTTATATGTTAATAATGAATGCGACAGCAAGTTTTTTCCTAGTGAAAAGGATTTTGAAAAGTTTATACAATTTAAAGGTATAATTATACATATTTATTATATATTATATAATATATATATATTATATATATATATATTTATTATATTACATTTATTATATATTATATTCATTATATACTATATTTATTATATATTTTATATATTTTATTTCTAGGTACTGTGATAAGAATGACCCAAGCAAGGATGTTAGAGATTAAAAGAGATTACAAATGTCTTCGGTGTAAATATGTTGAGACAGTTCATGCAAATTATAGCAAAATGTATTTAATTGAGCCGATAACCAAGTGTAAAAATCCTGAAGGTCAATGTAAGTCTTCCAAAATTGTTAGTCTTGATGAAAATAGACTTGGACCCGAGAACTGTATTGATTATCAGGAGTTGAAGATTCAGGTATATTAAATAAATGATTGCTAATGTTAATAACTTTCCGAAGGACTAATTGTTAGAAAATTCAAATTTGTAATTTAGTGTTTAGAGTCATATCAAAATTAGAAAAAAAAAGTGTATTTATGGGGGCCAAAAATAGACCTTTTGTTGACAATTTCTTTAGAATTTGCAAAATAAGTGAAAATTTTGTGTAAATTAAATAGTAAATATAAAAAAAACATAGTAAAACCCGATTAACTGTTTTAGAAAGGTAATTCACTTTTATTAACTCCCCCTAGGGCAAGTTATAGTAATCGCAAAAAAATCGAAAATAAAAATTTTTGCATTTCTCGACGTTTCAAAGGTTTCTGAATATTTTTGCATACCTTAGAAAAAATGGATGTATGTGTGTGTGTGTGTGTGTGTGTGCGTGTGTGCATGTATGTGCGGATACAAATTTTCGTCGACGATTTCGGGAACACCGAACAACCGATTTTAATAATTCAAAAAACATTTTACTTGTATTGACAAGGTGAAGAACCGATCATACTTTCATAAAGGCAGGTCTAGCGGTTTCGGAGATCTAATGAAAAAAGTAAAAAAAAAATGCCATTTGGCGGTCAAAAATGATCATTAGACATATGCACATCAAATTAACAGATATTTTATAGAGATTTTAACAATAAGTATAATTTTGGTTTACATTCCTATGGGTTCCGTACCAATGTTTACGCGTTAGACGTCGACGCGGCGCTTACGCGCTTTGATATTTCGTCTTTATGCAGTTAAAGCAGTACGATTGCTTTGAAAAAAAGTTTAGATCTTGCAAAATATGTCAAAATAAAGAAAACATTTTTTTTCAAAAAAAAAAAAAATTAAAAAAAAAAAATTTTCCTAAAAAGTAATTATTTGTCTAATTGTTTGTCAAAAATCTTATTTTTTCGAAGTAAAATTTTTTCAAAAATGTTAATCGTTTTTAAAAAAAATAATAATTCTTGGTACGGGAAGTTCCAGCAATTTGCCTTAAGGCACGATGCCTTAATTGCCTTAAGACAGAATTCCACTTACAGCTAGTTTACATAATATTTCTCATAAATCTATTATTTTTAGGAGCAAATGGGTCACCAGGGTGTCGGTTCATTACCTGCAACAATATGGATCAGTTTAGAAGAAGATTTAGTTGATACTTGTCAGCCCGGAGATGATATCATTGTGTGGTAAATTATATTCAAATAAAAACCTCATTTTTATATTAGTACATCTCATTTTATATTTCTTTTATTTATTTTCAGTGGCATTGTGCAAAGACGTTGGAAATACATCACTGTGAACAGACATTTAGATGTGTCGCTATCTATAAGAGCAAATTCTGTCACAGTTTTTACTAAACAGGATAATGATGTGGAAACAGAAACTGATACGGATAGTTGGATTAAGAAATTTTGGTTTGATCACCGGAAGAATGGTAAAATGCTGCAAGCGAGGGATGTTATAATAAATAATTTTTGTCCAGAGGTAATAAAATATTTGAAGATTGTAATTTTTTTATCTTCTATATATATAAAAATAAGTCGGGTTTTCCTTCCTGACGATTTAACTCCAGAACGCACGAACCGATTTCGACAATTTTGCATTCGTTGAAAAGGTCTCGGGCTCCGCAAGGTTTATAGCTAAGAAAATTAGTGGTGCATGGCATCGTGCCCTAATGCAAATTGCTGGAATTTCACGCACAGTAATTAAAATTTCGAGTAATGACATTAGTGAGAATTATCAGAATTATGCTTGGTTAAGTCAACGAGCAATTCTTGCCGCAAATAATAATGATGTACACGCACTGAATTTCACCATTCAATCAAAAATTGCTGGCGATTTGGTGACATACCAATGATTCCGACTGGTTTTCCGTTTGACTTCAAACAATTGCAATTTCCATTTCGCCTTGCGTTCGCAATAACAAGTCGCAAGGCCAATCGCTTAGTGTTTGCGAGATGAATTTCAAATAGATTATTTAGAAAATCATTGTTTTTTGCATTAGCAGTTATACGTTGCCTGTTCACGAGTTGGAAAACCATCCGCTTTGTTTGTGTTAATGTCGGACCAAAAAACAAAAAATGTGGTTTACCAAAGAGCACTTCAATGAGACGGATAATTGGCGGATTCACTTTCATTTACTTAGAGAAGTTCAACTAAAAAACACTTCTTTTTTGTAATCGAAATAAATTCATTACTGTTGTATAATAAAATCAAATTTTTCCTTTTAAAATATAAAACAAACAAAAAATTTCTTCATCTTTCTCACGAAACCATCTGGTGGCGAAACGGAGTTTGTCGGGTTTGCTAGTTTATATATATATATATATATATATATATATATACATATATATAGATATATATATATATATATATTGTTTTTATTTTAGCTATACGGCATGTATTTAATAAAACTGGCAGTCGCTCTTACAATAATAGGAGGCACATCAAATTCAAATAACTCGAAGCAGCTCAACACAAAATATACTCCGAATGATGATGAACCTGTAAGGTGCTCCCAATTTTTGTCTACGCAGAGAACTCCTTCTCAGGAGGATAAAGGTAGTGATGTTTCAGTACGTGGACAGTCACATTTATTACTCGTTGGAGACCCTGGTACTGGAAAGTCTGAATTGTTGAAGTTTGCACAGAAATTAGTGACGAGGTAAGAATAATTTGATCAATGAGATAAATATAATAATGTGTTATTGTAATAATTAACTTCCCGAAGGAGAAGTTTATGTTTTCATCAAAAAATCCGATTCGCTAATTTTATGTTTTCTCGACGTTTCAAGCCATTCTGAATCGAATGAGACCAACATTTGGATAAAGTATGTGTGCGTGTGTGAACAGATTTTTTGCCGTAAATCGCCGTTTTCTCAAAAACGGCTGGACCGATTTCAAAAATTTAAAAGCCATTTGATGTATCTCGATGAGGACTATCGTTTCTGAGTTTTGTGCGGCGATCGGCCGGGCCGTTTCTTTGTAAATTGAAGAAAAGTGAAAAAAATTTCGTCCACGTTTTAGCCCGCAATTCTGAATCGATTTTGAAAATTCAAAAACCGTTCGATAGATATTGGTTGGGAATCGTGCTGATTAGTTTTTGGTAAAGATCTGCCAAGCCGTTTTCTTGTAATAACGTTTTTTAAAAAAAAATTTCGACGATTTTTATGATTATTTTTTTGACGATAGATACCAAAGTCTTCTAGATCATACTAAAATATTACGGCCCTACGATAACTGGTTCAGCTTTAAAAATTCGTCAAAGTTTGCAAAAATTGGTATAGTTTTTTTGACATTTGTCAAAATTAGACTTTTGATCGACGTTTTCTCAAAAATGCCTGAACCGATTTTAGAAATTTAAAAACCATTTGATGTATTTCGGCGAGGACTATCATTTGTCAGTTTTGTGTGACGA